ACATGTTAGTGTGGCACTTCTGGGGACAGAGAGACACCCCAGACCCTATAGCATCCTTGGACTAGAATGAGCCCATACTGAAGACCGCTTGCACCCCAGTGGGAGCCCCTCATCTCTCTGGTCTGTAGAGAGGACAGGTCTTCTAGCTGACGGTCACTTAGTGCCAGCCCTGATGGTCACACCCTTGAAATATGTCCAAGCCAACATGAAATTCACTCTGCATGCAAAACACACTGCATTCTCAAAACCTAGGGAGAACAGAAGCGTACTGAGGAGCAGGCTTATAATGTGTGTGCCGGCTGCTTCCATGTAAGGCACTATGTTTAACATGCACACCATACTTGATTTTAACTTCACCTACCTCCTTCTATCTTTCTATAGGAGGTTATGCTAAATTTAACGTGACCTATGTGTGCTTTCTGTTTCTACCCTGTAAAGTGTATTGGGATCCCTTCTGACTGGGAAGTGTCTGAGCCGGAAGACTTCAGACTCAGGTGTTGGACCTAAAGGAAATTAGAGCTAAGGAGGCCTTACAGTATTGTAAACTGCCCCACCTGGTGCTCTGAGGCCCACAGGGATCCACACCGTTGAGGAAGCGTGGGGCGTGGGAGAGCTGAGGTACGGCAGGCTCTGGAGAGGAGTTAGGTGTGGGAGGCACAGGGCAGCAGATGGACAGAGGGCTAGGAGTGAGTGCAGGTCACAGGAGAGGTTGACCGGGGTGCCAGCCAACAGAAGGCAGCGCCGGCAGGTGACCGTGGGTAGAGATTGGCCAAGACTGCCCTGCTCAGTGCCTCTTTCCGTTCCCCAGGCCATTTTAACTGCTAGTCCAGAAAACTGGGCAGTGGGCACAAGACCTTCATGCCTACTGAGTGCCCACCAACTTCTGGTCACACTGGGCAGCGGGCAGACCCCTGAGAGGAGGCAGGGCCTCCTGAAATCCTGGATGTGCGGGATTTCTAAGTCCCTGCTCACGTGCCCTAGTGCTCGTCTGTGGTGCTCCCACCTCCTGTACCCACGTGAACTCACAGTCGGGCAATGGTGGCACACACCTTTAATCCCAGCACTTGGGAGGCAGAGGCAGATGGATCTCTGTGATTTAGAGGCCATCCTGGTCTACAAAGCAAATTCTAGGACAGCTAGAACTCTGTTACATAGAGAAACTCTGTCTTGAAAAGCAAACCAAATCAAATTAAAAAAAAAAAAAGAAGAAGAAGAATGGAAAAAAAAAAACTACTTCTGGAGCTAATTGTCTCCAAGGAATGGGGTCCCTCCAAAGAGCTGAGCAGACGAGGTGCAGGGGTGGCTTCCACAAGTCCATTCCGGATGTGCCAGGGTGACAGGCTATGGCCAGAGCCCAGCACGGGATCGCAGCACTGGCAGAATTAATGGCATGCCAAGCACCCAGGCTTGGGGACAGCGAAGGACACCTGGCTGCAGAGGTGGTAGACTGGGAGCATTTGGATCGGCTTAGTTTGGCTGTCTGTGGGAGATGACAAGGGGTGGCTAGGCACAAGAGCAGAGTGGAGGTGCACAGCCCTCTCCCAGTAAGTTTCTGGGGTCTTCCACAACCGGGAAGGCAGCTCGTAAAAGATGTAAGGAGACCAGATGGCAGGATGCAGCCACACAGGCTACCTAGCCTTGTTTCTGTCACCATGTCAAAACACCATGTCCAAAAGCAGCTTGGGAGGAAGGGACTTATTTCACTTTACAGCTTTTGGCCCATCATCCAGAGAGTAGGAACTCAAGGCAGGACACAGAGGCAAAACTGAAGCGGAAGTCATGGAGGAACACTGCTTACTGGCTTGCTCAGCCTGCGTTCTTATAACATCCAGGACCACCAGCCCACAGTGAGCTGGACCCTCCCACATCAATCATCAATTAAAAAAATTGCGTCGGGCCAGGAAGTGATCATGCACACCTTTAATCCCAGCACTCGGAGGCAGAGACAAGTTTCTCATAGATTTCTCACAGATCTCTGTGAGTTCAAGGCCAGCTTGGGCTACAGAGCAAGTTCCAGGACAGGCTCCAAAGCTACAGAGAAAAAAGTCTCATAGGTTGCCTATCTGATGGGGGCATTTTCTCTCTTCTCAAATGACTCTGTCTTGTGTCAAGTTGACTGAAAACTACCCAGAACACCTTGGTTGGGTCTTCCAGGATGGGGACTCCAGTCTCAGGTCCTAGAGAGGGCTACTTCATCCCCTGACCCCTGATATCCAGATGGACCTCACTCATTGCTAATAAGCAGGGAAGACTTGGCTTCAATGCCAGCTTGGTCAGTCACTGTCATGTGTCCCGTGACATTTGGTGCATGCCTTGGGCCTCAGTTGGGCTCATCTGTACATGTATCAATCCACAGTACCTCCACCACACACAGGTCATGGAAAGCACGCATAGGTCACAAGGTTGGATGTGGCGGGGAACAGCAGTTCTTAGGAAGAGGATCACATGGCTGTGGTGAGGGTTGAGATCCCAGGGGCCAGGGCGTATGGGATGTGACTTGAAGAGGATAGACCCAGCAGTCACCCTCAGCTTGACATGTCCCCTCTGCTCAGGCCCCAGGTGTAGACTCTTACCTGTTGCCATTTTGAGGAATCAGGGTACTGCCCCTACCTCCATCCCAGACAAAGTCTTGGGGCACAGGCCGGCTCCAAATCTGGAAAGTGAGACACTGCTCCTACCCAAGCAGCCCATCCTGGCTGAAGGGGTAAGCGGGCCAGCATCCGGTTGACCCCAGAGAGAACAGCCATGCTGAGTGGAGCTGACTACAAAGAGAGGAACACCTGACTCAGCCAGGTCTCAGTCAGGCAGATTAGCCTTAAGTGCGGAGATCTGTAAGGAGAGTGACCTCGCCACAGAACGGCCCACAGAAAAGAGGCAACAGAGTGGAAGGTAGAACATGAGGTGGGGTGTGTTTCGACTCCACCCTGAGCTGTGTGTTGGTCGTAGTTATGGGGCAGAGCCGTAGATTCAGCCAGGTATCAGACACTCTCTGTGGACAGAAAGCCCCGCTGAGGGCGACTCACAGTCCCTAACCAGCTCCGCACAGGAGGCCCCTAGCGAGGAAGACAAAAGCTATCCATCCCATAACTACCTTACACAGAAGTGGGGTAATGTAGACCTGATACTCTTGGTGCTGGGTTTCAGGGTGGCACATGGTGAGTAAGCTGGGAAAAGGCACCTCCTTGGGCACCAGGGAAAAGATGTGGCTGAGGGAATGCAGGATAGTATCTGGGATCAAGGCCTGGGAGTCACACAGTGCTCAAGTTTACTGGGACAGCCCTACTAAGCCTGCTTCTCCAGTCTACAAGGAGCACAAGGTGGGGAAATATAGAAACCTTGGGTCAAGGGGCTAGGGAGACTGCGCAATCAGAAAGTACTTGCTGTACAAGCATAAAAGGACCCGAGTTTGATCTCCAAAACCCATCTAAGAAGATAGCCACATTTGCAATTCCAGCACAGGGGAGGTAGAGACCGCTGTATTCTTGGGGTTCACTGGCCAGTCAGCCTAGCCTAACCGGCAAACTTAGTCCCACCGTCTCAGAAAATAAGGTGGACAGCTGCGAGCTCCTGTAATTGACCCCTGACCTTGACAAGCACATACACATGTGGAACCCACAACACAATTATGAATGTACACTTGCACGTGCACACACACACACACACACACACACACACGTGTGCGCGCACACACACATTAGTTGAGCCGAACGCATTTCAGATAATTTTTTTCACTATAACATACAATTCTTCCAGGTGAGCAAATAAGACAGACCCCTAGGCAATGCCTTTTCAATTCCCTGCTCACTGGGTTCTGGTTTCTTATAGAAAGTGCTGTGAAGCCCAAAGAAGATGCTCTTGTCCTTATGTTCCTGGATCTCAGGAGCCTGAGCTTTGTGCCAAGCCCGGATGGCTCACCTGCTTGATTTTCTAGCGCAAGGAGTACCCAGGGTGTCCACGCGGTGTCATTCCAAGTCAGACTACATGCAGGGGTGCAGCTCAGCAACACAGCATTCAACTAGCATGCCTTGGGTTCTATCCCCAGAAGCAAGGGCAGAAAAAAAGAAATCACAAAAAAAACCCAAACCAGAAAGTTAGAGTGTAGCGGCCACAGCCCGAAACTGATGGCGGAGATAAACACCACCCATGATCTATGCACTTCAGATGCTGCTGGAAACCTGAACCCCACCTGGCTGAGGGGCCCAGAAGCTCGAGGGACCTCCAGCATCTGGGTCAAGGGCCTTCCCATGAGCAGGTTTCCTGTAAATGCTCTTGGATCCGGGTCAAGGCTGACTCTGTGGGAGCTGAGAAACCACAGCCTCCTTGGGGAGTCCCCTGGGGTTCCCACTCACCCCTTACACCAGGAAAGCTTGGTTTCTGCTTGACTTGTTGTCTCCACAGGAGGGGCCCCCAGTTTTCCCCTTCTGCTGCCCCTGCTCCGTAGGGCTTGGTCCTTATCTCTGCTGTACCTGTGGTCCCGCAGTTCCTCTGAAGCTCCGGACACAGCTGGGGCACAGCATACAGGACTGCCTTCTGGAAATTACCATGCAGTAATTCAGGAAAACCTAGAAGGGCATGGGGGGGGGGGGCAGGGCTGGGAGGCTTCTTGTTAAGGCTGGGCCTTAGGGCTGCAGGAGGTAGCCACCTGGGGAAGGGCCGACAAAGGCACAGGCCCTGGACTGAGTGTGAACTGGGCCATAAGAAGGTTTTGTAAAAGTGCGTCAGAAGGACCGCCGTGAACAGACAGGAGTGGCCAGGTAGAAGCATTGGCCAGAAGGGGGGCCAAGGAGTGAGAGCTGAAACAGGCAAGGTCTAGTCCCCCAGTGCACTCTCTCTTAGCATCCCTTGGCATTTTGGGTAAGGTTGCCCCACCCTTGGCTTTGACCCGCCGACCACATGCAGGTTCTAGCCATGATCCTAGGCTGGAGGCATGAGGAGGTACCATATGGGAACCGTAATGTCTGAGCCTCCCCCTTCCCCGCAAACCCTTGCCCCCACACTCCATGTGCAGGCCTGAACAACCACTCTGCTGCCTGACGGATCCTGCGATGTTTCCCAGGCAACTGTCTCATACAGCCTGTCTGCCTGGCATTCCCACACCCCATAAATGCCACCGTGCCTGGCTCCAGGCAGCTTTGCCTGCTTGGCATACACAGACCAAACGCAGCCCGCCCGCTGCCTGACTCTGTCGCCCGGGCCTCTTGGACATCCTCACACAGCCGGTGAGCATTGCTGGGGTACCCCATGCAGCGAGTGTCCTGCCGTTCTGCCATACAGAAGAATGAGGATAGCTGAGTGGCACCAGCATGTACCCAAGCGTGCTCGCCTACCACGGGTCCCACTTGAAAGCTAGAGCCCGTGTTCCTTTCCGGGCTCAGTCACAGACAGATACTGTCATGGCCCACATGTAAGGTAAATTAATGGTAAACCCCTGTCTCCAAGAAGGCAATGAGGGTATAGAGAGCCGAGTAGGACTCAGACTACCCAGCAGCTGAAGACTGGGGCCTGATGGACCGCTTCATCTAGTCCAGCAGCTGAGAAGCCCCTGTTAGTGGCAGAGACCAACTCTGGGACCAGCCTAGCATAGTGAGGAGTTAGAACCCTGTTAGCACCACCCTGAGAAAACGGCTGTGGAGACACCAACCTCAGAACCTCCTCATTTCTGAGACTAACTTTGGAGGGTGGAGTTTGGGCTCTTCCTCCAAAAAATATGGTCTGCCGGGGTTGTGGTGGCGCACGCTTTTAATCCCAGCACTCGGGAGGTTGAGACAGGTGGATCTCTTTGAGTTTGAGGCCAGCCTGGTCTACAGAGTGAGTTCCAGGACAGGCTCCAAAGCTACAGAGAAATCCTGTCTTGAAAAACAAACAAACAAATAAACAAAACAAAAAAAACAACAAAACCAAACAAACAAAATGTCTAATGGTGGACAAAGCCCAGGAGATGGAGGTCTTCACCGTGAGGCACTTTTTGGATGCAGGAGGCTTCATTGCTTCCCACACTGGAGAGCACTTTCTGCTTCCCCCGTGTGTCTCCTCCAAAGGGCTGAAATATCCTTTTGTAAATGTGAATTTTCATCTCAAAGTTGTTTCTGCAGTGCAAGGGTCATTCCCAACCAGAAAAATTATTTTCCAATAACATTAATCCCTTTCACCACAGCACATGGCTCAGGAGATGGGTCTTCTCATCAAGTTCAACTTTTACTCTTTAATTGCTCCCCTCTGTGGCAGTGTGAGGATGGACATGAGCACCACAGGGCGGGCATTGAGGTCAGATGACCTCCATTGGTGGTCCTCACCTTCTGCCTTGTTTGAGACAGTCTCCTGTTTGGCACTGGGTATACAAGGCTAGCTGGCTCAGAAGCTTTAGGGAGGGGCATGGATCTCCTGTCCCTGTCCCTGTCCCTGTCCCTGTCTCAGAGCAGCACTGGGATTACATACATACATACATTTCATACATACATTACATTACATACACATACACTCATGCTGTCATGCCTGGCTTCACGTGAATTCAGCGCCTTACCTTTGCACAGCCAGAAAGGATTTACCACACCGCTCCATCTCTCTAGACCCAATTCAACTCTTTGTTTGGTTTAATTTTTGAGACAGGGTCTTTCTACAGAGCCCTGGCTGTCCTGGAACTCACTCTGTAGACCAGGCTGGCCTCGAACTCACAGAAATCCACCTGCCTCTGCCTCCCAAGTGCTGGGATTAAAGATGTGAACCACCACTGCCCAAATTCGATTTTTAAAGCCTGTTGTGATACTTTGCAGACAGCTGGGACAAAGTAGGTTTGTTGGGGTTGCCCATCACCCCTATTTCTGCCTCCTCAGGTTCTAAAGATGGTTGGATTGGGCCTAGAGAGACGGCACAGTGGTTAAGAGCACTTGCCGCTCTTGCAAAGAACCTGGGTTCATTTCCCAGCACTCACATGGTAGTGCACAACTCACCCCACTTCTAGGGAACCAAGACCTTCTTTCGACCTCTGTGGGCAACAGACACACTTGGCATAAATACATGTATGAAGACAAAACAATGACACAGATAAAAAAATCATTTTTTTTTTCTTTAGAAATGGCTGGATCCTATAATTCCTGGGTGAACTCAAGCCTCAGGGACAGTGGTCAACAAGAGGGATTCAGATGTGGGCAGAGCTTCACTCGCTCGGCACAGAGCAGCAGACCTCCCTTTATTCCGTCCTCTGCTGAGGAGTTCCAGGTTGCTGGCCACAAGGCCTTTGCTGGCCCCTGCCCTGGTGGCAATGAAGAAGGACAATCCAGGGGATGCAGCAAGTCCCAGAAGAACGGCGTTTCACACCTGCCTGAGTGCCAAACCTGGAGGACCTGTGTTCTGCAGCTGGGGCAGGCTATCCTGGGGTCAGTGCCCCTTTCTTCTAACAGCCAAACGTCTATCAGAGCGGCCAAGGCCGAAAGATAATGGGGTACCCTCACTCTCTGTGTCCTTAGCCTCAGGGTGCTTGAAGAGAGAACTCCTTCAGGTGTCCGCAGTTTGGGGGTAAGTCTGCCTGGGTAGCCACACAGGCTCCGCCCCTGCTTCACGCTGACCCTCTGGGCCAGCTGGTGTTGCACCTGTGCAGGCAGGCAGGCCATCTGGGCTCTGTAGAGGGGTACGGAAGAGGCTGGAATGCAGAAAATCTCAGGGAGGCCCCTGTGCTCTGGTTTTAGGGTGTGCCCGAGCTGGGCCTTCTTGCCCACACAGGGCCCTTTCAGCACTTGGCTGGGCACCCTCCTCAGGCCTTCCTCCTGCTTGGAGGTTGGAGCCAGACCTCCTAGAGTCCTCAAGGTTCCCTGCAAAAGTACAGTGATACTTTCATCAAAAGCCTAGGAGCCAGGTCAGTGGGAGCCAGGGCCAGGCCGACTGGAAGTGTTCCATCAGCATGCGCTTCTTAGACCTGGGACTCCTCACAACTGCCTTCTCACCTGGGTGGCCCAGTCCCAGGTCACCCCTGATGGTTCAACACCCCACCCTGGCCCTTTCTGCATGGGCAGCCATCGGCTGCACCTTTGGCCATCGCTCTGGGTTCTTCAGTCTAGTAGAGGCAGGTTCCCAAGATGGCCACTCTCTAAAAGACCTCAGAACAGAACCTGGTGTGTGATCTGGGATCCTTTAGAGATTAAACTTCTCATCCTCTTCAAATCTGCAGAGATAAAAAGCAACCTCAGTCCAGAATCCATCCCCTGCTTCTAGGCTGGACCACACACGGGGGTGGGGGTGGGTGGGGGTGGGGGGTGACCTCGCCTAGGGATGGGAGGCAAGGTTCTGATGAGGGGAGAGCAGGGGGGGGAGGGAAGAGGACCTAGGAAGAGGGAGGGGTCAGGGAGTCAGATGGTTGCCAACGGGGCTTTTGGAACAGCCCTGACCCCTGGGGGCTGTGGAGAAATAGCCACTAGTGTACGCCAATATAAACACTAAAGTCCCTGGGCGTCTGCTGCCACCAAGTGACGGACTTCAGAATTGCAGGGCGGGTTTATTGGCTGGATAGGAAGCCCGGGTTTCTGTGCTTGGTCCCCTGAGCTTTGCGGCTCCGTTGCCTCTTTGGTGGAGAAACCCAGGTCCTTCCATAATAAGAAAAAAAAAATGGTGGTAAAGTTGGATCTGGAAGTCCTGTCCTTGGGACCATCCTGGGAAAGGCTGCAGAACTGGAAACTGAGGCAGAGCATTGTCTAGTACCGCCGGGAGGAGGCACGGGCAGGGCAAGCCTGACAGCTATCTGCACGTGCTGTTAACAGAAGGGCACACCAGGCTCCAGAGTGGCCTGCACAGGGTCGGGTGGGCCCAGCCTCGCACGCCTGCAAGCTGGGGGGGGGGCAGCTCTACCGTCCCGCCCCTCCCTCAAGGCGGCAGCGTAGCGCCCCCCAAAAGGTTAGGATTCCGGCGCCTTAATTCTCAAGTGCCACAAAGGGGAGATGGCACTCGGCAGAGTGGGCAGTGGGGGAGTCTGGAGGCCAAGAGAGCTGGTCCGGGTCGGAGGGCGGGTCGGGTTGCACGTCTCACTTCCGCCGGACGCTCTTGGGAAAAGGATGGAGGAGGAGCAGAGGCTCCGGGGGAGGCTGAGCCGCCGCAGGCCGCCCGCAGGGGGCGGGTGAGGCGGGATGGAAGGGAGAGGGTGGGAACGCTGGGGATTCGGGCAGGCGGTGGGGCCGCGGGAAGACAAGGGGGGATACCGCGACTTTCCCGTCGAGGTGCGGGGTTCCTTGCACACTTGCACCCCGCCACTGTGAGGCCTGCCTCCAGCAACGCTCCGCCTTTCTCCGGGCGCGGTCGCTTCTTCCGCCCAACCCTGCGGTCCCCCCCCCCCCAACGCACACACAGCCCCTCCACCCCTCTTCCCGTCGCCTTTCGAGGCTCTCCCTGAGAGCCAGCCCCGGGCTCCATCGCCCCTAGAGCCCACTTAGCCTCCAACGTGAACTGCACTCCTGATCCCTTACTTCGGACTGCCCCCCTCCATGACTCCACCGTCGTTTCCTTCCGCTCCCCTCCCCCAGTCTTGCTACCCCTCCCTGTAGAGCCCCTCGTGACCTCCCTTTCGGGATTCCCTGGCTGACACTTCTTGTGCTTCCCAGGGCCCCCAACTGCCCGCCCTGGTTTCTCTTGGAGGACCGTCAGAGAGAGCCATGGGCTGCCCTGCTGCGTAGCACTGTGAGCGGGAACGTGCATTTGACCCCGAAAGTCGAGCCATTGCCAACACTGCCAGCTTTGCCCAGCCAGGTGTGTCCAGAAGCACTGAGGGAAGTCGTAGGAGAGGGTTCCCAGGCCCTGGGAGGTCATGGTGGCGGCGGCTATGACCTCATGGGCTTCTGTTTTTCAGGAGTCTCTGCCTGACCCAGAGCCCACAGTGCCTCCTGAGGTCTTCACTGTGGGATCCAAGACTTTTTCCTGGACGCCTTTTCCGCCTGCCCTTGGTGGTTCTGGAAACTCCTACGAGTTGTTCCGCGGGATTGGAGGCTCCCTGGGGTCACCCACTCCACCCCTGAAAGGATATTCTGCACCAGATTCCCGTCAGACTCCCAGCACGGAAGAGTGTGTGTCCGTGCAGAGTCCACCCGTGTTGCTGAACTGCCCATTGTGCCAGAAAGCATTTGACCCGAAGTGAGTGTTCCACCCCAGACGTTAGGCTTAAGATTTAGCCCGAGGTAAAACCTCCTGCTTGGGAGGCTGAGAGAGTGCCTGGATGTGGCTCTTTTTATTTATTTAACTAATTTTTTGTTGTTCTTTGTTTTTTTTTGAGATAGAATTTCTCTGTGTAGCCCCAGCTGTCCTGGAGCTCAGGGCTGTAGACAAGGCTGGCCTCGAACTCACTGAGATCTGCCTGCCTCTGCCTCCAGAGTGCTGGGATTAAAGGTATGGGCCACCACCGCCAGGTTTATTTAATATTTTTTTTTAAATATTTATTTATTTATTAGGTATACATTATTCTGTTTGCTTGTATGCCTGCAGGGCAGAAGAGGGCACCAGACCTCATTACAGATGGTTGTGAGCCACCATGTGGTTGCTGGGAATTGAACTCAGGACCTTTGGAAGAGCAGGCAATGCTCTTAACCACTGAGCCATCTCTCCAGCCCTATTTAACTAATATTTAAGTTAAAAATAGTTACATGTATGTGTCATGGTGCACATGCATGTGGAGGTCAGAGGAAAGTTTGCTGAAGTCTGTCCTCACGTTTCACCGTGTGACCCTCGGAACTGAATTTACTACTCAGGCTTGGCAACAGGTGCCTCTTCTTGCTGAGCCATTTTGCTAGCCCCCCCCCCTTTTTTTTTTGGACTCTCGGTGATGCTCTTTATTCTGCCTCCCAAATGCTGGGATTTCAAAAATGTACCACCACATTTGGTTAGCTTTGGTTACTTAAAGTGACCCAGAAACTTGCAGAACTTGAGCCCACTGTTGCCGGCTCGCAAGGCAGTGTGTTTTAGATGGTATTTAGCTGGGTGTACCTGTATCCCCTGTGTGACGTAGAAACAGCCTGGGAAGGAAATGGATTCTCCCAAGTTCGCTGCTAAGTTGACAAAACCAGAAGTGAACCACAAAGTTAGCTTGGTTATCAGAAGATAAGGCAGGTGGAACCCTAGTTCAGAGCCCAACAGGTCCGCCAAATATTCTTTAAAAGGATTTGTCCTGAGCCGTGAGTGTTGCCCACGTCTTTAATCCCAGCACTCAGGAGACAGACGTCTGTGAGTTTAAGGTCAGCCTGGTCTATGTAGTGAGCTCCAGAACAGCCAGTGATATGTAGAGAGGCCCTCTCTCAAAAAAACAAAGCAAACCAAAATGTTCTTATTACTGTTTGTGTGATGTATGTATATGTCCATGTAGGTTTGTGTGCAGACGTGCCCATGTATATGGAGGCCACGTCAAGTGTTTTTCCTGATCACTTTTCACCTTATTTTTTTATTTTTTTATTTTTTTTTTTTTTAAAAATATTTATTTATTTATTATGTATACAATATTCTGTGTGTATGTCTGAAGGCCAGAAGAGGGCACCGGACCTCATTACAGATGGTTGTGAGCCACCATGTGGTTGCTGGGAATTGAACTCAGGACCTTTGGAAGAGCAGGCAATGCTCTTAACCTCTGAGCCATCTCTCCAGCCCCTATTTTTTTATTTTTAATTTTTAAAAAAATTTATTATGTATAGTGCTCTGCCTGCAGGTATGCCTACAGACCAGAAGAGGGCACCAGACCTCATTCTGGATGGTTGTGAGCCACTGTATGGTTGCTGGAAATTGAACTCAGGACCTCTGGAAGAACAGCCAGTGCTCTTAACCGCTGAGCCATCTCTCCAGTCCCCTTTTGAATTTTATTCTTTCTTTCTATCTATCTGTCTGTCTATCTGTCTTTGGTTTCTTGAGACAGGGTTTTTCTGTGTAACAGCCCCAGTTGTCCTGGAACTAGCTGTGTAGACCAGATTGGCCTCGAACTCACAGAGATTCACCTGCCTCTGCCTCATGAGTGCTGGGATTAGAGGTGTGCGCTACCACTGCCCAGCCCCACCTTATTCTTTGAGGCAGTCTCTCACTGAACCTAGACTCATTGTTTTGGCTAGGCTGGCCAGATGAGTTCCAGGGACCCACCCCTGTCTGCTGCCACCCCCAGTGCTTGCCCTTTTATGTGGATGATGTTTGCCCAGCAGGTACTTTATCAAAGGAGCTGTTTCCCCAGCCTCCAGACTGTGGCTTTTTTATCAGAATCAAGTCTTTATGAATTTGGGAGGGGCCCCAATCCCAACCCTCAGCAACAAGTATCTCTACCCATAACCACATAGCTCAGACAAAGGGATGTTGGGTGTGGGCTGGCTCGAGGCAGGTTGTGGTTATCCCTGAGTGGGTCCTGTTTATGTGACAGTGAATGGTTTGCAAAGTTGGCATCTCCATGCTTCTTACCCATCGGGAGAACCAGGGGAAGAAGCTGGGGTTGGGAGCCCTTTTGGGAAATCCATTCTCGCAGAACCCGTGTGATCTTGCCAGGGTTCCCAGCCCCTCTCGTTCCAGGAGGGCTTTTTACCTGTGCCGTCTTTGCATTTCAAGGCTGAAGTAGTCCTGAAGATAGGACTACTGAAGGGGGAAGCTCTGCCCACTGGGCGCCTCTCAAGTGGCTGTCCAAAGTGGGTATCAACAAGGCAGGCTCAAGTCTGCAATGACTATGACAAGCTGTTACATCAAACTGTACAGCAGCTAGGATGTATTGGGCCAGCCTTACTCCTGGAGGTGGCAGCCACATCGTCGGGCTGCCTGGGGGGAACTCATGTCTCATGCTCTTGAAGGAGCCCTCTTTCATTTCTGCCCCTGTGCAGGATGTTGTCACAGTGGGCAAGACCCAGGCCAGGAAGCAGACTGGCGTTGGGTGGGTCAGCAGCTAGACCCAGAACGAGCTGTCCTGTTGTCCCCTGAGGGCAGTCTGTGCAGCCATTGCTGCCCACCCTCAAATGAGCCTGGGATGCCCTTCAGGGAGGCCAGGCAATCTTCTTGCTCAGCCTTCAGAGTAGCTGGGAAGACAGGTGTGTACCACGCCTGGCTCATAGCTGTGACTCTATAGTTTGTTCATATTCCGATTCTGGGCCTGACATCCCTGAATCCATGCTGGTTAGCCATAGCCAGGACTCAGCTGTGGCTGGGAGTTAGCAGAAGCCCCGCTGTGAAAACAGCTCTGGAGGAATCCCTGAGAACCCACTTGAGGGATGCTGCCTGGGAACTCCCGACAGATGGCTGAGATGCACACGGAACCTTGATGTTCCTTGGAGAAAGCCAGAGGGAGGAAGTGCTAATACCTTGGTTAGATTGGCCGAGGGGCTCTCAGGGACTTCAGAGACGATTTGCCGGGGACTGCCAAGTTAGGGGGCCACTGGACGTCACGGGAACTGGGACTCAGGCGAGGGACCTTGCTGTCCGTCCATTCTCTGTTGTTCATCTTAGGGGAGGTCTGTTTCCATTCTGGCATGGATCCGGGCGGACTAGGATGAGGTGAGCAGGCCAAGGCCTGGGGTGCCATGACGGCAGGTAACGGGCATCAGGTTGGCCAGCAGGATGTCCAGAGGATACTTGGGACTCCTGTGGGTAAGCTCACCAGCCTCAGACATTCAAGCTGAGCTGGCTGCTGCGAGAATTCTTTTCTTTTATTGTGTGGGTTCTGGGATTGAACTCAGGTCATCGGTCGCTATCTTGCTAGCTCCAGAGAGTCTTTTGGGTCTAGCTTTTGGCATGGCCAGGATGAGTGATCCAACAGATGAGGTGGGAGCTTCTCAGACATTGGTTAGGGTAGGAGTCTGTAGGACCAAGAATCTCTGGTGTAAAGAAGAGTTCTCAGGCAACAAGGAAGGCCTAACTCAACCCTACTGACCATTTCCTCCAACTGACTAGTCATGGAAGAGTCCAGGATTCTCCTCAGTGGTTCAGAAATAGGTGGAGTTGCCAGGCGGTGTTGGCACACACCTTTAATCCCAGCACTCGGGAGGCAGAGGCAGATGGATCTCTGTGAGTCCGAGGCCAGCCTGGTCTACAGAGCGAGTTCGGGAGGCCTTGTGACTGTTTCCTCCCTCTTACAGGCTAGCCCAGCTGGATGTGGATAGCCACCTTGCTCAGTGCCTGGCTGAAAGCACAGAAGACGTGGTGTGGTGAGCAGCAGGAGACGTAGCGTGGTGATGTGACTGCTGGGACGTGTTCGTGTGGACATCCGAGCACGGGAGTCTTCTGGTTTCGCTCGTGGGCACTGAGAATAATGCTGATCGCTGTGGTGCAGACAGCAGCAGGTCCCTACCATGGTTCCTCTCATTGCCGACTTAACTGGGTTTAGAATCACCTATCAGACAGACCTCAGGCTGTGTCTGTGGAGCTGTCTCCAGGGATTAACTGAGAATGGAAGACCCACCTTGGATGTGGGTGGTGCTGTCCTGTGGCCTGGGGTCTCACTGAATGAAAAGGGAAAAAGGAGAAATTGAGCTGCTTCCTTACTGGGGACGGATGCTCTTCTGACCTGGCCACCAGAGCTACAGCAACATTTGCTGCTGTGCCTTCCCTGCTGCGATGGACCGCACTTCAGCCATGAGCCAGAATAAATCTTTTCTTAAAAAATTATTTATTTATTAATTATGTATACTACATTCTGCCTCCATGTATGCCTGCAGGCCAGAAGAGGGCACGAGATATCATTACAGATGGCTGTGAGCCACCATGTGGTTGCTGGGAATTGAACTCAGAACCTCTGGAAGAGCAGCCAGTGCTCTTAGCCACTGAGCCATCCCTCCAGCACCCCCAAGTAAATCTTAAGTTGCTTTGATCAAGTATTTTGTCATAGCAAGAAGAACCCCACCCAGGCAGGGGAGCCAGGCTCTGTCACGAGGCAGAATTGGGTATCTCTACCCAAGTCAGCATTTATACACAGGTAATGCCCTTCTCCTGACTAAGAGTGACATACTGGATTACATTCCACAGACATTAATAATAATAATAAAAAAAAGCTAATGATGTGTATTCGTGTGTCTATGTGCATGTGAATATGGTTGCCCAGAGGCCAGAGGAGGGTATTGGATTCCCTGTAGTTTTATGGGCAGCTTTGAACTGCTGGGAACCAAACTTGGGTCCTTTGCGAGAGCAGTGTGTCCTAACCATTGAAGCCTGTCAGTAGCCCCAGTCACGCTTTTACTTCCCCAAATGCACTCAGCTCTCCATTCAGAAACACAGTGCTGCAGGCTGAAAGCTTCGCTCTCACTGACTGTGCTGAGGTCCTCACCCCTAGAGACAGTGGTGTGGAGATGGAGCCCTAGGGAGGTGACAGGTCATGAGGGCCAAGCAGCCTAGCAGACAGGAACCCCAGTGGACATGGACCTCCACCAGAACTCAGTTGGCACCTTGGTTTCCAGGACCAACCATGTTGGAAGCATGGTGTCTACCTATGGCACGGCATTTGCTCAGCCTGAACCAACCCCTGGTTCTAGTAGGGCACTGGGCAGCAAGGAATGTGTCCTGGGCAGCTAGATCTGACTTCCACAGCATGTAGGGTTTCTGCAACCCTACCTACCGCTAAGGGGCGGGGCTCAGAGCACTTCACATCAAATCGGTTCCTGAAGAATGGAATTTAAGGGAGCGCTATGGGCCACATCTTGCCACCCACACGTGAAATGTGGCTGACATACAAAAGCAAATTTAGTTTTGTTTTTTTTTTCTTCTTGTGCTAAAGCCCAGATTCTAGATAGGGGCTCCAATACCAGCCTGGTACCCTTCCTTCCCCCTTTGTGTTTGAACTCATTGTGTGGCTGAGGACAACTTGATTTTCCTGTTACTACCTTCCAAGTCCTGGGATTACAATGTCCACTACTAAATTTGTTCGTGTCTAACCTTCTTGTCTACGGAAACTAGCGTTGGCCTGGGGTTAGCGGTAGGCGTGGCTTGAAAGCTCGAGTTAACCAGAAAATCCGTATTTTCCTTTGAAGAACGGTTTCCATGAGTTGGATATGGTGGCCACGTGGAGTCTCAGCACTTGGCAGGGGAAGGCAAAGGAGTTCACGTCTTCAGTTTTGAGGACGGACTCACTTCATGGGGATGTTGACAGTGGCACTGAGTATCTGGGACACTTACTTGTTCTTCTGTTTTGTGTTGTGAGCCTAAATGTCTTCTAGGAAGGGACTTCTAGGGAACAGAGTAAAACCCTTCACTCTCCCCAGACGCCTACGTCGAACACAATAACAGTAAGGGCGTTTTCATCAAAGTTTTTAATAGATGTGCAAGAATACGAACGACCTTGGCCATGGAGGGCGAGAACAGCATCCACAGAAGGAACGCCGGCTGGCGATGGGCTCCACCGATCAATTGTACAAAACCACATGGTCATGGTTACTGCTTTACAATCGTGAGAGTCACCAGTGTTCGCGAACCATTGTTAAAAGACACGCGCTCTCTTGCCCGGAGCCGTTTGCAAACGTTAGGGTATTTCCCACCCCACCCCCCAGTCACATTTCAATACATCCTTCACTTTCTTTAGTTTATAAAACAAATTACTATATATAAAAATCTCCCCTTCTGGTGGGCACAATATTATTCACACATTTGTACATGAGCAGCCGAACCAGTAACCAGTAAGTCATTTGGCAATAGGGCAGTATCCAAGTATACACCCCCATTTCTAACAAACCAAGGGCCCCTGTGCTGTTTGGGCAAAGGAGTTGTTGCTGTCCCTAGGCAGCACACTGGGAGGAAAGGAGCTAGCAGGAGCCAGTTTGCTCTTGGACCACTCGTGGGCTCTTCATCATAGCAGTGTGGCTCATAGGCAAGTGTGACCGCACAGCCCTCAGATTGGGGCTCCAGCCACTTGGACATCCCCAGGCTGGGCTGGGCACCACTGGGAGGCCCAAACATTGGCTCTTAGGCTGTGTTTGCATTTTTTTTTCTGACCGGTTGCTGGGAGTTAGTCTTACTGATGGACACTAGGAGTGCTGGTTGAAATGTGTCCACGTTCAATGGGTGTTACAGAGCCACCCAGAAGCCTGGGCCGTCTGCTCTGTCCCAGCACCTGGGTGTGGCTCTGATGTGTTCAGCGCCAGACATGGCGATGGCCTGAGAAACCTGAGTGCATTGGGGCGAGGGCTGCGGGCGGCTACGGGGCAGCATGGCAGACAGCGCCTCTGAGTTTTCATTTTCTCTGACTTCAATTTTCAACAGGGCCGCCAGCCCCCGAGGCCTGCATGAAGCAGCCATGACTGGACTCCACCCTGCCTCGTGTGGAGATGCCAGGTCTCGCTCTGGCAGGGTTGGGGGGTATGTAGCCTGTTTGCTACCTGGGTCAGCCTGGCTCAGGGAGACCTGGGGTACTCCATCACTGTAGTGCGGCGTCTGTCTCCGGCCCACTCCCAAGGTGCTTAAATGATGGCTCCTGACACACCTGACCTGAGGACTTAGCTAACCTCTTTCCAGAAAGCCTTGGGCTAGCCTCCTGACTGCCTCTAATCTGAGGAGGAGGATGGCCGAGCACAACAGTTATGGAAGCGGACACGCTTCCTCAGTAAGAGTACAGGATTATGGGTATTCTGTCACGTTAAGGCTAGGGTCCGTCACACAAGTCTTTAAATTTTTCTAATCTGGAGTATTAGTGATAAAAATATTTTCCAAAAAATCTAATGTATAACACAAGACATCTTGGAGGCACTGGCTAGTGTTTTCAGAAATATATATTTTTTTTTTTTTTGCGGATTTAGTTTTCAATTATTCTTTCCCTTTTTATTTATTTACCTATTTATTTGGTTTTACTGGTGCTTTGGTAAGCAATGTTTTAGAATCGCTATAATCCAGTTTCCCCCATCAGAGTCCACGGGGCTGGTGGGAACAGCATCACCAACCTGGCCAGGATGTCACTGCAGCCTTGGACTACCATGGCTAGCTGCGCTGGGTATGAAAATACATGTTAAATATTAACAACAAAACTTACCGGGATTTAGAAAAAAGTTCCGAATCTGTAACAATTCTCGTTGCAGTGCATTCCTGCAGGCACTTGGGTGCCCGTCCCCTGCCTACGTTCTGCCTGCTCGGAACACGCAGCTCCTCCTCACGTGGGGGCTGCGCTGGGGACGTCAGGCGGGTGCCACTCAGAAAAAAGGCAGCAGAGGAAGCTTCGACATCATCGGTACATTTTATTCCTCAGGGCATTACACGCTAACTTTCCTGGAGCGGGTCAGTGCATCGAGTTCTGTTTCTGTGGAAAATGTGCACCTTCGAAATGGCGTGACTGTCTTGCCCTCTGGTAGGGCTGCCACGGGCACAGGAAGCTATTCCTCCAGCACAAAGCCAGCCTCTGGGGCCTGGACACAAGAGACTGCTCTGTCCAGAAGTGCCTGCTGGGTGCCCCTCTGCGGTCTCGGTGGCCAGCATCCCTCCTTGGCTGCTCGGAGCCTCGTGCCCAGCCTGGCATGCATATGCTGTGGTTAAGGGTAAAGTGACAGGGTCATTCACAGGCGTGTCCACAAGGGAGACGCTCATGGCCTCACACGGACTCCTCAGCAGACAGCAGAAGCGGGTTGATGTACTCAAAGCCTTCAAACTCAGACTGGTCAATCCTCTTTATGACGTCCCTAGGAGCACAGGGAGGAGGTGAAGAGTGGCACCCGTGTCCCTCCCTCGGGTACTATCCTTCCCACCAGCCCACGCAGCAGAAACAGGAACCCAGGTCTGGAGCCTTGCAGGGTCGTGCCCAGGACTTACTCGTCATCTGGAGTCAGCTGCACAGGCTCGCTGGTGAACTGCGTATCAAAGTTATCCAGGCCATAGTCGTCTGTGATCTGGGGCTGGAAGGGAGGCAGGGCCTGCTTCTTTTCCAGCTGAGAATATCGACAAGGGATTGTCAGACAGTGAGATGGTCAGATGGGTGTCAGCACCCTCTGCCCTCTTCTCGTCTTTGTATGCACATAAATCACGGAATAAAACGGGAAGCTCAGCTTTTCAACAGGCCTGGCATTTCAATGCCAGTCCCGCCCCCATCAAAGTATAGAATCTAGGAGAAAATATCCAATGCCAGGAAAAGTCTACTTCAGTTAAAAAGTGATGGATGTACAGGCCCTGGAGACATGTGCCAGGGGAACAATGTTACTGCCAGTGGCTGGAAGCTTGCTTGCTCTCTCTCTCTCTCTCCCTCTCTCTCCTTATTCTTTTCTTCTCTCTCTCTCTCTCTTTTTTTTTTTTTGTTTTTTTGAGACAGGGTTTCTCTGTGTAACTTTGGTGCCTGTCCTGGAACTAGCTCTTGTAGATCAGGCTGGCCTCGAACTCACAGAGATCCGCCTGCCTCTGCCTCCCGAGTGCACCACTGCCCGGCAGGATTGGTTATTTATAATACAGCTGTTCAACCAGGTAGTGGTGCACACCTTTAATCTCAGCACTCGGGAGACAGAGGCAGGCGGATCTCTGTGAGTTCGAGGCCAGCCAGGGCTACATAGAGAAACCTGATCTTGAAAAACAAAAATCAACCAACTAAAATATATAGCTGTTCTTCTTTATCAAGCAGGGTCCTTGGGCCACACAGGGGCAACACACGTAGGGTATTTCTCAGCATTCGGTGCCCAGTGCGAGAGCTTTCTTTCCAGCATTCATTCGGCTCTTCCAGGGGAAGGTGGGTGACAGCTGGTCCCAGAACAATGTATGTATCTGTCCTATGAGCCCCACTGCCCTGCCTAAGCTAGGGCTGCAGGCCTTGAAGAGACTGCATGCATCTGCACTTGACCTCACATGTGGCTGGCATGGGAGCTGATGTCTAACACTCCTCTAGTCTATCGGATGCTGGCTCAGTGTCTTGGTTATAGCTGCATCTCTGTATTCTTAGAAACAACAAACCTCACCCAACAATGGCGCACAGCATGCATGGGTGGGTGAGTCAGAGAGTAAGCGAGAAAAATGGATGGAGGTGTGGAGAAGGGCTGGATTCATGGCTGAATAAGAGACTAAGAGCAAGCGAGGGTCCCAGCCTGCTAGGACAAGAGAAGACCCGGGACTGCGTAGCCTGTGAGGTTTGTCCTTGTGTTCAGAGGGCGACTCTTTCCCAGCACTGCTGTGGGCAGGGAGATTAGCAGAGAGTACATGGACGGCACAGGCTATGCTGACTTTTAGTGTCCAAGCAAAGAAATGCCCCGAAGGCCAGGACAGCGTTGCCACCATTGCCTTCTGAAGGCTGGGCAGTGAGGGGAGCTGGTCCTATTCAGTCTTAAGGGCAGAGAGGCACACAGCAGCTGTGACCCCATTTCTGATGCCCCCACCTGGCTGTGGTTCCCACAACTGCCTGTTTGTCCCTGGAGCCCCGTGCCTGGGCCTTCAATGGGTGGCCCTTTATCTTATCCCCCTAGATCTTCCTTTCTTTTCTCTCCTGGCCACAGGCACACGCCACGACCAAGGACTCAGTCCTTTCCTTTTTCTTTGGCAGGTTGCCTGGGAAACCAGAGGGTTTAGTGACAGTCTGTCCTCCTACTTGCTTCCCTCTCTGGAGTCTTTCTCCTAGAAGCCTTGGACCTATTATTTAAACTTTAAAATATTACATTTATTTAACTGTGTGTGAGTGAGTGGGCACACATGAGCCAGAGGACGACTTTCAGGAGACAGCGCTCCCATTTCATCCTGGAAGTCTAACCCAGGCTGTCAGCTTGGTGGGAAGTACCTTTACCCGAGGACTGGTCTGGGCCCATTTAATTTGCCCGACAGAGGGCAGGAGTGGAGGCCATCAACTTCCTGTCAGCTCTCACAGGTCAGGTCTCGCTGATGTCAAGAAAGCTTGTTTTAGCCACACTCTGACTCACTCCTCAGGGTGGACTTGCCATGGCACCTGCCAGTAACCCGGAACACAGTAGGTTTGATGGCAGGGGGTAGCAATGCCCAGATGGCTTCTTCAACTCTGTCCGGTTCATGGTGGGTCAGGGATTTGCAGCCATTGGAAAGATCCGACATGCTGTCAAACCATGTCTGACGGAGCACCAGACACAGAGGGTCTGTGGACAGACCCGTGTGGTAAGTAGCCTAGTCAAGTTTCCAAAGGGAGTCAAGACTTTGCTGTATAGACTCATTTCTCTCAGAACCAATCTACTGACCAGTCACAACCCTGCCTGGGACTGTGTCCAACAACTTTCCCATGGTCTTCATGCTACCATCTAAACCTTCTGGTGGAGACTTGGCAGCGGAGGGTGTGCCGGATGGCCCGTGATGGACTCTGTGTGCTCAGTGGAGCATATGCTCCTATCCTCACATCCCAGAGCGGGGCAGGAGGACTGGCCCCACAGGCCATCCCTGTACCCCTAGAGATAGATGGCTGGCAGGTGACTCCCTTCTGACTGTCTCTCTCTCCAGAGCAGTGGAGGGGGATGGGAGACGAGCCCACGGCTAAGGTCCAGGGAGGACCCTGAACACCAAACTCTAGGGTGGGTGGCCGCTGCTGTGAGGCTTAAAGGCTCTGGTAGCGCCAAGGTCGCTATCAGGGATGGCTTGCCATGCAGACGGTAGTTCTCAGATCAGCCAGCCACTGGAGTAGGCAGATGGATCTCTGTCCCCAGAAGAGGGTCTCTCTCTCTCTCTCTCTCTCTCTGAGACAGGGTTTTTCTGTGTAATAGCCCTAGCCATCCTGGAACTAGCTCTTATAGACCCGGCTGGCCTCAAACTCACAGAGATCCGCCTGCCTTTGCCTCCCAAGTGCTGGGATTAAAGGCGTGCACAACCATTGTCCAGCTGAGGGTCTCATTTGTATCTTTACCCACTTACATTCATCAAGACCACCCCCCTGGACTTGTCTGAAGCAGAAACCTTGGATTCAGGTGGAACCTTCCCTCCCCCGGTCTGTGAGGACAGCCAGTGTTATGACGATTTGAGCCTGCCATGATGCCCTCTGCCCCATGGCACTCAGGATGGAGGATGGTCCTGGGGGACCTTAGAACAGGCTGTGCCATAAGAACAGTGTTAGTTCAGGGAGGAGGCAGGTGTAGTAGGCTGGCTCCTGCCAGTCTACCAGGCTACTCACAGGGACCTTACCCCATAAATAAGCCATTCCAGAGCCTGGATCTCCTCAGCTCTGGCGTCCCAGAGTCTCAAGTTACAGGAGTTTGGGTGTCGTTCCTGTCTCTCAAAACCCAAGCTCACAAGGGTCAAAAAAAAAGGCGGGGGGAGGACACCAGGGACAAGCCTGGCTTTCCTCTGGCCACATAGCCTTTAATCCCTGAAGGAGACCCATGCCAGCTGGCTTTGTGCAAATCTTAAGAGGATGGCAGAGGTGGCCTCAGGTCCAGTTACCACCATGGCCGCCCTGACGGTGCTGACAGGAGTGGCACTGGGTCAGCTAGGGGAGGGCTGGGTCGGCGAGGGGAGGAGGGCTGGGATTAGGAGCCTCTCCAGTGCTGTCACGGGGGGGCTCACGGCAGGGCCCAGTTCCGATTCTCCTTGCTGTCCACATCTGTCTCCTCCTTCACAGCACCAGACCTGCACCAGGGACCAGCATCCTGAGTTCCATGGTGACATCTCTAGACCTGAGCTCCCCCCTCAGACGAACAGTCCTGACACTGTAATCCCTGGAGCTGTTGCTGGGCTGTGCAGTCCTCAGGTCCTAAGAAGTCATGGGGTACAGCCCCTCAGGAGGTGGGATACCCAGTGACAGCCTGGACAGTGGCTCATCTGGAGGAAGATCCCCCAGAAAACTAGACAAGAGCCCCAACAGACAGGCTACACAGGTCGCTCAACAATCTAAGAACCAGAAGTGGACCCTGCCCACGTGACCACCAGTGGACAAACACGTGGTCCATCTGCGCAATGCAACACCAGATAACTGTGAAGGCATGTAACATGTTTATCACCACGACAAAGATGATCCTGGAAGATGCTTCACCGAGCGGAGCGTGCCATAATGCAAGGTCACCTCCTGGATGGACCTCCTTTCAAGGCAGAGTTGTGAATCAAACCGCAAGACAGAGCACAGTTGGCTATGGCCAGGGAAGGGGATGGAAGTATAGACGTGATGACCCATGGCATGAGTCCGCTGGGCTGGGGTGGAGAGGCTCTGTGACAAGACTCCAGGCCCACAAGATGTACTAAGAACCACTGAGCCATGGGAATGATGCAGAGGAAGACCTCCTCCGTCCTCCCCTCTTGCTGCTCAGAACCACTTGGCTAGCCGGCCTAGAGGCAGCTGGGCTGAAATAAGACACTATTTATACCATATCCACTCTCTTACGGCGAGGCAAGGGTAGGCAGCTACTGATGCCATGTGGGAGGCCAGGGCCAGGGCCAGGGCCAGAGGAAGAACTCAGATTCTACAGGCTCAGAAGAAGGCGGACCATGGCGAGGCAAGCTCAGAGGAGGAACAAGGATGCAGGATTCTCCCTGTACCCCACTCTTAGATCTGACTCCGTGTCAGAGTGGGGGTGACAGGTTTCAAAGACTGGGGAGTCAGTGAGCCTGTTGTAACATTTGCCACTACTGGGCCTGGGCCAAGACTGAGTTAGAAAGAAACCCAGGCTTCCCTCTGATGCTACCAGAGCTAGAAAATGAAATTAAAAGCTGACAGAATTGGTTCTTAAGTATCAAGGCGAGTGAGATGGTTCAGCAGATAATGGTGCTTGGTGCCAAAACTGACGGCCTGAGTTTGTCCCTAGACCTATATCGTGGGAGGGGAGAAGCGACTCTCAAAAGCTGTCCTCTGAGAACCAACTCTCAAAAGCTGTCCTCTGACCTCCATATGTCACACCCACACACCACACACACAGACACCCCCCAGATACACACACACACACAGACACCCCCCCAGACAGACAGACAGACAGACATACACACACCCCAAGTTAAAAAACATCAATGCACCGAATAGACATTTACACCCAAACAAGGGAGTGAACGAGAGGTTCTGGTTTTGTGGCTCTAGAAGGGCCATGGGTTGTGGGCATCGCCTGTCCTGACCACCTGCTGCCCCTGCAGCCTGGTCCCTCCCCATTCCGCACAGTACGCTAGACACAAACAGTCCTGTAAATAGAGTGACTGGTTGTACCGGGTAGTGGTGGCCTACACCCTTTGATTCCAAAAGCAGGCAAAGCTATGAGTTCGAGGCCAGCCTGGTCAACACAGAGAGAGAGAGAGAGCTGCAGGACAGCGAAACCCTGTTTTGAAAAACAAAAACAACAACAAACACGTGGCTGGTTAAATGATAAGATCCTTCCCCGGGGAATAGACGTTAGAGCTGGTGGGGGCCATCTGAAAAGGTCAAGATGGGTTGGGGAGGAGGGTGTCCAGTGTGCCACAGCCGGGCAAGTTCCAGATTTACTCAATGGGTTAGCTTTTATATTTTCCCTCAAAAGGGTGTATTATTTCGACACAGGGTTTCTCTGTGTAACAACCCTGACTGTCCTAGAAATCTCTCTGTAGACCAGGCTGGCCTCAAACTCACAAGAGATCCGCCTGCCTAATATCAGGAATGGACGCGACTCAGAAGCTCAAAGTCTGTGCCTGCTACCCTGCCAGTAACTAGTGATACAGATGGGGTTTGGGCAGCTTTGGGTAACTAACTACACCAAAGAAAGTGCCCTCGGGGCCCAGACACCATTACCAGGCACCCAAGTGCACACGGGGCCACTCTGACTACGGGCACAACCCATCTCACAGACCCCTGAGGCTTACCAGGTCCCAGTCTATGCTGCGGAAGAAGGCATGGGACTTGATGTCAGAAAATCCAGTCTGCGGCCGGCAGCCAAGCCTCTCTTTGGGATCCTGGGGGGTCAGAGTGCAAATAACGGTGAGTCAGGACTCCCAAGAAAACCCCTGATTCAGCCCCTACCCAACGGGATGACCCAGCTTCCCCCACGGGAGCTCACTGTCTCCAGCCGCCCTCCTGTCCTGCGGGGTGTGACCGTCCCTCTGTTGGGATCCCTTCCCCAAAAAGCTACTTTCTCACTGTTTGTTATGCTAAGTATCAATAAAAATTAAACTCACTGGGCAGTGGTGGCACATACTGTTAATCCCAGCATTCAGGAGGCAGAGGCAGGAGGATCTCTGTGAGTTCAAGGCTAGCTTGGTGTACAAAGAGAAACCCTGTCTTGAAGAAAAAAAAAAAAGAAGCAAACTTTGGACTCTCATTCTTTTGGGGTTAGAGATATGGCTCTCAGTGGTTAAGAGCACTGACTGCTCTTCCAGAGGACCAGGGTTCAATTCCCAGCACCCACATGGCAGCTCACAACTGTCTGTAACGCCAGTTCCAGGGGACCAGACACATCCATGGTACAACATCAATGCACATGAAACAATAAATAAATAAGTAATAAAGTCTCTGAGTGCAGAGAGCCCCAGTGCCAACGCCTATGACCAAACACAGAGAACAGCTTCAGTAGGGGGACTCTGCCCACCCGCTCCCAGAGTATTCTGTCACCAAGGCCAGAGCATACCTTATTTAAAAACCCTTTCAGGACGTGTGAGGCCTTGACGGACAGGAAGCGGGGGATCCGGATTGGCTTTTCCAGGATCACTGTGTGGATAGAACCCAAGTGAGATGACCCTTGGCAGTATTCACTCTTCCCGGAAGCCTACAGGACTCCTGAACTCTGTCTTTTGGTCCCAGACACGTGGAGGCCTCTGCACCGGTCACCAGAGGGCGCTGAGGGACAGCCCTGAGGGCATACTAAAGGCCATTAACTCTGGGCAGGAGTAAGGTGTGTGTGGGGTGTGTGTGTGTGTGGGGGGCTATCAGGGGCCACAGGGAATGAACCTGGCTGGGCAGAGGGGGGCTCTGGCTACATCAGAGCATTCTCCCTCTAGGTGACTGATGGTGAACTATGGTCACCTCACCACATTCTCTGCCGGAGGAATGGCTCTGTGCAGGCTTCACCAGCCTGGGCACTGCCTCCCAACCTCACCTTTGAGAAGGAAAGAAAGGGGGTGGACACGCTGCGGGCCACCAACCTTGGAAAAGGTAATCTTCAGTGTTCATGTCCGGGTTGTCCGTGATGATATCAAAGGGGGAGCGTCCAGCCATCATCTCAAACATGAGGACGCCCAGCGCCCACCAGTCCACGCTGAACCCTGGGGAAAAGTGGGCAGTCACTAGGCGGGAGGTGGCTGGGAAGCTGACACACTCAGCCCGTGACTGTGAATGTGCCAAAGGATGCGGCATCCATCTCTGCGGGCGGCTGGACCGCCGGGCATCCTTTTCCTTAGAAGCTGCGGAGCTGGCGCGTGGCTGTGACTCCTCCAGCTCACTGTGGGTTACCCTGGCTGTTACCCGGCCCGCCAGCTCTGCTGGGATTGCTGCACAAACATGCAGAATGGGTCCAAGAACGAACCCTGCTTTGCTCTGGTTATTACTGTTATTATTATTATTATTATTATGTGGATCTTGCTGGCCTTCAAACTGGGACTGCTGCCCCAGGCTCTGGAGTGCATGCCACCATAACCGGCTTTCTTCTTGTTTTCATTTAAGGTTACAAAGTCCCCTTCTCACTGAGGAGCGCAGCTCAGTGGGAGAGAACTCTAGCTTCAATCCCCAGTGCTGCCCAAACAGAACCGGCCGGAACCCACTTCTCTGAGGTAAGAATCAGTTTGCTATAGTCCCTTCTGCCTTCACTACTTTGTCTTTCTCTGCTTTTTTTCAGCTCTGTTCTAGACAGCCTGGCCATCCCTGTGGTCTCTGAACATCTGCTCCACCACACATAGAATCAGGTTGGAATCATGGCTGGTTCTAGACTGGTTTCTGGCTCCAACCTGCCATCTTTCCTTCTCTGGTTCCTGAGCAGCTGCAACTGAAGCAGCTTCTAGGAGCCCAGTCATTCTCTCGGGTCAGTGATCTGCACACGCTGCCGGCACACTCGTGCATTTATGACTGCTTTCACCAACGCCACCAACATGAGTCAGGGATAGATAGCACATGTCTGTAATCCCACCTGCGAGACAGAAAACTCTAGGATGCAAAGGTGTGTGGGCGCACAAGCACATACATACCATGTATATGTTCATACGTAATGCACACACACACACCTACTGCATGCTATATACTCTCCCCTACCACGTGGATGTATATGTACCTGTATATGTATGCCACCCCATCTCCACACATGGCTATGTATGATGGCTTCCACTCAGAGAAAGAGGAGGAGCAGACGTATACCATTGTGTCTACAGGGTTTCCCAGATCAGTCGCCCTCTGCTTTGGATCCTGACTGGGGGCACTTCTACCATTCCCAAGGATACTTTGATTCTTCTACACACGCATGGCCAGTGGCCGTCAACCTGGGGGCCTGTCTTGTCTTTGTTTCAGGCTCCTTTTCATCCTCCCCACCCTGGCTCGCCAGGGAGAGGACATTGTTCAGGGTCACCTGGTGGGCTTGAGAAGGTATGAAGGGGGTAACAGGCATCCGGGAGACACCAAGGGGTGTGGTGTGTTGTCTCTGGGTGTCACATGGCCATGGTGCTCTCCCTGCCTATTGTTGACAGGGCGGGTTCCTGCTCTGGGTGAACATGCCAGGTGGCAGCGACTTCTGTAGCGTGTCTGCCTACATTTACCTCCTATGGGTCCCTGTACTCACCGTATTCTTCTCCTCGCAGGATTTCAGGGGCAATATAGTTCGGGGTCCCACAGAAAGTGCTTGTCGTGTCACCGGGGCCTAGGCCTTCCTGTGGGGACACAGTTATCAGGAGGGTGACCCTCGCGTGCAGCGGCGCCCCTTAGGAGTGACCGGTTACGGGCAGGGGTGCCTTGGCTGAGCTGTGCCCAGTCGGGATGACAAGGGCAGACAGGCAAGGTGGGGGAGGGCAGGGCAGGCACCTTGCACATGCCGTAGTCTGTCAGCTTAATGTGTCCGTCAGCATCAAGGAGGACGTTGTCCAGTTTCAGGTCCCGGTAGATGATCCCTCTCTCATGTAGGAAGTTGAGAGCAATACAGATCTCAGCAGCATAGAACCTGAGGTGGGGGCATTCTGCAGTGAGCAGAGGGACTGTGGCAGCCAGCCAGCCAGGGAGCTGCCACACACAGAGCCCCACAATGCATCCTGGTCACCAGGGAAATGCAAATTTAAATTATAGTGGGAGTCTACCTCCTAGCCACCAGAATGTCTATTTAACACGACCAGAGTAAGTGGTGAGGACATAGGAAGCTGGAGCCCTGTGTACCACTGTATGGAATTCAATGAATGAAAAATGTGACCCTCAGAACATGAAAACTGGGGCTGAGTGCAACTCGATGGGAAAGCTCCTGCCTAGCTTCATCAGTATGGTCTACAGCACCAGAACAAACAATCATGAAAAAGAGAAAGAAGACGTGCTAAACACCTCTACTTATGCACATGTGTCCAGGGCTGGAGACAGCAGGACCAATAAGAACAATGTATATGTGAAAAATGCCATTATGAAGTCCATTACTTTGTATGCTAATTTAAAAGTAATTTGAAAGTAAAAAAAAATTGTAAGCAGGGCCTTAAACACGTATGTTTAATACTATGTCCACAGCGACCCTATTCATAAAGAATAAAATGCGGGAGTAAGCACTGACGGGGGAGTGGATAGAGGATGCATGGGTGGGGAAGGATGGCTCATGGCTGCAAGTCTGAGGCCCGTCTAGGTAACAGGAGAAAGAGATGGCTACACAGTGAATCATGGAGACATTGTATCCAGTCATATAGAAAGACAGGTAGCCTGAGATTCCGCTCAGGGAGGACTCTGGAATCAGACAGAGGGAGGGAGGTGCCAGGGCTGGGGATCAGGAGCCTGGGAAGTCACAGGGTACAGGTTCCGTTGTGGGAAATAAAGAGGGGCTCTGTGCAGCTGTGTGGCAGTGTGGTCAGCTTTATGGCTCTGAACTACCCATATACTTAAAATGTCTGAAATGATAACATCAATGCTGTGTGCATTTTACCATGAGTTTTATAAAAGGCAAGTGGAAAGGCAATAAATGGTTGCTGCTTCTGCCCACTTCCCTCGGAGGGAACCTAGGTGATGATTCACAGGACTTCATGGGGGGATAACTAAGGTGGATAAGAAGGGACCACCCAAATTTAAATCTCCCCAGCCTTCCTTCAAGGCCTGGGCTGCAGGGGAGGTACCAGGACAGTGGGCTGGATGGCAACCGTCCAAGGCCAGAAGCAGGACCAGTGGGTTCTTTCCTGATGCCAGCAGAGACCTGCTGTGCTCTGCCACTGAGAGAGTGTGGGACTTAACAGAGGGAGAAGGGCAATGCCAAGATGTCACGACTGTGAAAACAGCCCAGAGGGCCTGCTCTCCTGAGTGGGGGCTTCTGCTCAAGGTCTGGGAGGGGTCAGCTTCCCCAGAGGTTCGGGAATCCCTTACACCATGGCAAAGTCCCATCTTTGCCACCTTCTGCCCAAACTCCACCCTGCTCTTTTCACTGCTGGCATGAGGGAGGGGGGGTTCCGCAGGCCATGCTCTCCGTGGACGTAGACCCACCTGGCGTGCTCCTCTGGTAGCTTCCTCTGCCTCTGCATGTGGAACATGAGGTCCCCGCCATTGACGTATTCTATGACCAGGAACAACCTAGGAGGAGAGAAGGGCAAAGGATCAGGGACCGAAACTGCCCTAAAGCCCGTGCTAGGTTCATTCCAGTCAAAGGCACCAGCAAGGTGGCCAGAGTGAGTGGAACCTCCACAGGGGGTCCCCTCTGGGTGCTAGCCTGCTGCCTCTCAGGGTGATTCCTAAGTACCTACAAGAAGGGGGTGTGGGCTACCTAGGAGCTTAGGGGGTCAGCAGGAAAAAACCTAGGGTGAAAGGGAAGGTGAGGCTGAGTTTGGCATTTGGATCGGTGAGGCATGAGGCATGGGTTCAGATCCTGACATCTGGGGTCCAATACCATGTTGGATGTGAGTTTATCACAGATACTAAGGTAGGACACTGTTTTTATGAAAGAAGAAAGAGACTTAGGTATTTGTTTGCCTATCATTTGTCTCTGTGTTTCCAATGGTGCTAGGTCTGTTTTAGGGCGCACGCAAGGGCACATACACACAAAAAGGCAGAGATGTGGCAGTCCCCGGGGTTAGGGATGGATGAGCAGGTGACCAAAGAAGGAGCAGAGGACTAACAGAGCCTGAGGTAAGGAAAGAGCAAAAAGCTGGGGGCCGTCCTGGAGGTGGGACAAGTCTGGCTCAGATGGTCTAAGGGCACCCACGGGGCAGGTGTGGAAATGTATCAGGGGACATGGCTTAGGGGTTGGCTGCTCTAGTCTCTGCATGCGGATGGACCTCAGGAACATGTAAATGGGCAGGGCCAGGAACCACAGAGTTGCCTGTCCACCTGGTGAGAGAGGGTCAGCGTGGATCAGGGAGAAGAGTGAGGAGAAGCCAGGCTGAGCTGAATGGATCTGCCAGTAGCTGGACACGGGGAAGATGGACAAGAATGGGCTTGCCTCAGGGGTGCAGCCTGGCTGCTGGGGACTATAGGTAAGAGGAAGGGCAGCAGGGGTCAGGCAGAGGTCAGGATCCAGCACACGGCCCTCACGTCTCCTCACACTGGCCATGTGTTTTCTTTCACTAATGAGATCTTTGCTGCATTTAATAAGACTTAATTTTCAAAATCCAATTCACAATAATTTCCCGAGATGCCCCGCTGAGGGCACCTTGGGGACATCTGGGCTGGCAGCTCACATGTGCCTGGACTGTTTATCTGCAGTCTGCGGCTCATGGTTTGCAGGCCCACCAGCAGAGGGTGGGAGCCAGTGTTGGAAGGAACAAGCAAACCCTTCACCTCCTGGCTCCTGTAAGGGCTCTCAGCACACACTGGACTGAATGAACCTCGTTGGCTAACTGTGACTCTGCTGTGGGCAGATGCCAGCATTCAGCCTCCAAAGCTTGGGCAGGGAAGATGGCAAGTTAAATGGCGATAAACCACTCGCCAAATTTCAAATTACATACTTAGATGAGAAACAATTCCTAATATGTGGAAATTAAAACAAAAGACCTCGGCACCAGATGAGGAGCTATATAGTTCCCCTAAGTCAGCCCTAGATGTCCTGATCCCAAAGAAAACCTAGTATGCTTGTGTTAGGGCTGAGGACACCTCCTTCCTCCAATCGTATTCAATATTCCAGCCTCTATGGAAGGCTTTTCAGTCTCCTATGGAACCCCTTGCTTTGCCCCCGGGGATTCACAGGCCTGCTGCAGACTACTTTGAAAGTAAAGTTTTACTGAAACATTGTCATACTGTTTATGTATATAGTCGGCTCTTGGTATTTCCCGGGAACTGATTGCATGACCCTCTTCAATGGCAAAATCATTGTTGCTCAAGCCTTGTATGTAAAACGGACCCTCTGCTACAGTGTAAATCAGGTCTGCATTGCTCACAACCCTCAACACAATGAGAAAACCATGCAAATTGTTACCTTGTATTGTTAGGGAATAAAGGCAAGGGAAGTCAGAACCTGACCTGGGGTGCGGTTCAGCAGTAGCGTGTTGCCTAGCGTGTGTGGAGCCATAGCTCCACCCCAGCACCACACGTGCCAGCACATGTTCAGCACAGACACACGCTCCCCACAGGGACTTCTGACACCGCGGCTGAAGCTGCAGAGGAGAACCCACGGAACACGGCAGAACCAGCGCGTGCCAACTGCGGCAGCTTTTCTGTTGCTGTTCACAAAGGCAAAGGTGTTTGTGCTCTGGCCCTTAGAGATGCAGCCTCCCTGGTGCAGACAAGCAGGGCATGCAACCCTGAGCCGCAAAGAAGCGTTCAAGTGTCAACTCTCATAACCACCATGGCACCATAGGAGGCGGGTCCCGTGATGCTTGTCAGACTCTGCGAGACGCCTAACATCTCAAAACTAGTAGGAGGGATCTCCTCCAGACTCTCTGGACGACCACAAAGCACAGTGTCTTTCCCCCTACTCGGAATCGCAAACGTGACAGGTCCTGCCATCAGGGAGGGGCCGAGCCCTTCCCTTGGGTGCCAACACTTCTAGCAGACATTGGTGATAATGGTGTCCCATAATAGGGAGAAACTTCAGTCACTTCCAGGAAACACAGGCAAACATCCTAGCCTGGAGGATGTTAAGCTCCCCAAAAAGCGGAAAGGCAGAATCTCTGTCTAGAGAGGCCATGGTGGATTTCTGTCTCTGTGCCGGGGCTGTGTCTCTCTTCCTTCCCTCCCTCTCGAGGAACTCACAACACAGACCAAGACGCTCTCTTTGTTCCTCCTGCCTTGGGCTCCTGAGTGCTGAGATTACACCACGATGCCTAACTTTCTTTCACCTATTTGGCAGGGTGTATGCGGTATTTCTAGGGGTGCACTGTCAACAACATGCATGTGAGGGCTGGGGACAACTTTCAGGGGTCGGTTCTCTCCCTCTACCTAGGCTAACAGCTAAGCCATCCTGCTGCCTCCCTGCCCCCTTCTTCCCGTTCCTGTCGTAAAAGCAGCTGTGACACTAAGGACTCTGGAGGGGAGGGTTCCGCAGACGAAACCTCAGTACTGTTCTCAACATTTTTTCACAGCAGAAATCCCCAGGAGTACCGTGTGGACTGCCCCGTAGGCGACTTGGGTTGGTTTGGGTGTTTGTGGCCGTGACAACACAAGGTCCTATCTGCTCCCACAGCTCGCTCTGTATGCCTGGCAGGTACTTCCTGCACCAAGTTCTTCAGCCTCAGATGCTGTCTTGGGCCATGGCCATGTTTCTCAGTCAGGTTGAGGTCAACACCTGAACACAGGCACCTGTCACTGTCCACAGTCCCTTGGTCACACAGCCACACCAACCCTCAAGGGAGAGGTATTAGGATGGGCAGGGGTCTGTTGAGGGCACTGCCCTCAACACTCTACAGTCAGATCTCTAACGCTTTTAAGGTCACACCACTGTAGGAAGGAAGCAAGTAATGGCTCAGATGGTGGATATTATCACTTATTCTTAGCAAAACGTGCAAAAGTTACTAACACCCAGTAGAAACGGATCCGTCCGCACAAGCACATGGGGGAAGGGTATAAAGAGAAGCAGTGAGCGCCCGGATCCTGGGCCAGAGAGTGGCAGAGTTGCAGGCAGTGGCCAAGTCCACTGCTCCCCTCACCAGGAGAGGACCCAGATGGGACCCTGTGAGGACCCCTGTTCCCCAGCAACCTAAGCACCCAGCCCTGACTTGGTCTAGAGGGAAAACCTGATGGCACAAGACAACGTGGGGACAATCAAGAAGCACCTGGCTGGCTGTTTACTGCCTTGTGTTTTATCTGAACAAACCATGCACATTTTCTTCCTTTCTTCTTCTCTCCCTCCCTCCCTCCTTCCTGGTGGTGGGGAGGGGCTTAAAGTAGCCCAGGGAGGTCTTGAACTTTTGATCTGCCTCTGCCTCCAGATTGCTGAGATTACAACCACACACACCACCGTGTCTCTCCGTGCCACTTCTTAACATTTGTCTGTGGCTTTTGGGCCGGAACAAGCAGCCACAATGAAGACTATATAGCTGAGAAAGTGAAATTGGTCATGAGCCACAGCTGTCACCAAGTGACGTCACAGCCTAGCCTGTATAAGCTATGACAGTCAGGAACACACTTGTCTAATGACAAGTTCCCCAGATCACATTGCTGCTGTCAAGATACTGTGCTACGCTGATTAGTCATTTGAAAAAGGCTGCTAACTCTTGGTATAAATAGGAACAGTGACACAAAAGTTTCGGGGGCCCACACTCTATGGAGAATTCATTTGTTCCCAAAACTATGAGATAAATTCTGCCATTTTCCTGATTATATGGAGAGAGACACAGGCACCAAAGGTTACACAGTCCTGATATCAGACAGTCTATTCATGGGGACCTCATTTCAAGGTCCGGCCTCTGTTCCCAACAGATGAGCCATGCAGATGACAGAGCAACGGCAAGGGCGAGAGGGACGTGGAGTATCAGCCTAGAATCCAGCCGGTGTCTCAGAGAACAAGGAGGAGAGGGATGTGGAGAGTCAGCCTAGAATCCAGCCGGTGTCGCAGAGAACAAGAGGCCTAGAGAACAGAGGTGAGGCTCAAACTCCTGCCACACCAAAGACAACCCCCGAGCAGCACAGTGGGAAGGAGGCGTCAGATTCCACTTCCCTGGCCCAGACAAAGCTCTGTGTTCCAAGAAAGATGTGGACAGACAAGGAAACCCGAAACGGTTGATCCAACAAGAGGATTTTAATCTTGTGCAAAGAAACCGAGCAGGGTGGGGAGCGGGCAAACTGACTTAGGCGTCTACAGGGACAGATGCAGGCAGAGCGTGCCGTGAACTGTGACTCAGAGGGGCTGGTATCCTCAACACCACAGGATACAAGACACACACTCTTCCCAGGGTCAGAAACAGTGTTTGACAGAGAAACTGAGGGACAGGAGAAAGCAACCAAATGGCTTGGGAGAAAGCCGTCATTTAGAAACCCCCAGATAGCAGGGGCAAAGGCACTGAGGAAAATTCCCACAGTATCTACCATGAGGTAATCCTGGGCCTGTGGTTCAGAGTGCTCACCTGTCATGTATGAGACTCTGGCCTCTCAACCCAGTACCAAAAAGGGATGGGGAGGGGGTTGGCTGGAAAGGTGACTTA